CAAAAGAAAAGCGTACAAGATTAAGAGTAAAATGCCGTACGATAGCTTTGGAAGAACTACGAGGATACGCATTACTGCGGTAAAAAAAAAATTATCTGCGCTATAGGCATTAAAAAAGCTGAAATTAAGTAAATAGACGCAAGAAACAAGGAAAAACAGTCACCTGTTTGTATGATTTTCAATATCTCTACAGCTAACCCTTTATAACTTCTGCGTAATTAACTATCATTACATTTCCTCCAAATTAACAGCTATTCCGCTGTGCAGTAAACAATCCCATTCCACCAGCACGACAACTAGTCCCTCTACAATTCGTCCATCCGTTTCATTGGCAAATTTGTACTGACATACATGCTAGGGAGTCAAACCCACCATCAGCTTAATTTTATGCAATCTTTGGAAGAGGTGCTCGTCGATAACCTTACCAGCAGATGGTTGCTGTTGACACTTGCTATATACGCGAGCTATTTTCCAAGCGTTTTAAACTCTCACACAGGACATCAGCCGTCTCAGTTAGCTCAAATGCACTACCGCCAGACGATGATGACTGGCGGTGGCAAAGAGGACTGCTTTGATGTGTCGGAGAACCAAAAATGAAACAGGAAATTTAAAAGAACCACACTAATTTGAATGAAGGACGAGAACAAGAAAAGAAAATCACCAACAGGCACAGCAGCTCCCACTGCAGCAAAAACGAAAATTATTAAATTCAGATGATGCGCATCGGATTTACTCTCAACATACTTTTCTGTTTCGAAAATGAGTGAAATCTGTCCTAAGAGAATTAGTGAAGTTTTGACTGGTTCCCCCTAAAAATCCATGCAAGCATTTTTGTAAGCGCCGAACCTGTCCAAGAATGGACTGTAGTATCCTTCCTCGTATCGTGCTGTCTTTCGTTCATAATTTAGCCGGAAAAGTTCTTGCATCAGACGCGGATTCGCTGCAACCTCATCACTTACTGCTTTGAATATCCTATCCACTATGGCCTGTAATTATGATATTTTCGGAAATTGGCACTTGAAAATCAGCAATACGACACTTTAGAAAAATTTGTTTGAACCCATCCCCTCTGCTGTTTCTCTTACGACACAATGTCGCACCAGATCTCCAAAAAATCCTATTGCCGGCAGACTACATAAGCATTGAAGCTTTTAGCGCACTCAAGCTCTACCAGTAACGACATTGTCACCACAAAAGTAACACTTGAAAGAGCTGTTCTTACCGGTACGGTAGCTATCAGTTTTGACCGCAATCTCCATGAGTACCGGGCTTGATCTCCGCTCAACGGCCGTGAAGTGTTAACGGACTTAAATAACCAGTACGACATTTCTTCACCTGAAAACAACAGTGCTGTTCTGAAAAGTCCTGAAAATGTGGTAGTGCTCACCATTCAGAAAGGTTTATGGTTCCGCTATTTCAATTCTTATGCAGTCACGACGCTACCTCATCATATCGTCCGAAAAAAAAAAA